ATAAATTACTTGTTGTGATGGACTCTCCGAGTGCAGAGTGTCCTGAGTTCAAAGGGGACGGTGAATATGCTTGAGAGTGTGTGTGTGTTCTCGTGCAGTGTATTTTTAGGTGTTGTTGAAGATTGCATCCTGCAGATTCGGTGCATTTCCCGCTGATCGATATTGCGCGAGAAATAATGAGTGATCCTGCAGTGGCGAGAGACAGCCCGTCGGCGGAGGGACCGGGAGCAGCGAGTGCGAGCGCGGGAGGGCGCCCATAATGCCGCCCACTGCGCCATGTCCCGCCGACTATGGAACCTGCTGGAGTGGCTGGTGCCCGACCAGGGAGGAGATGCCGCCACCACCGCGCCCACCGCTCCAGCAGCCACGCACCAGGAGGTCGTCAGGCCGGGGGCCGCGGGGCGCCGCACCCACACCCCCCGTCGCCCCACCACGCCCACGCTCTCCGCCAGCGGGGGGATCTACCAGGCGGGCGGCCAGGGCCTGGCGGCGACCCAGCTCCGCAGCAGTGTGAGTTACACCGAGGGCTGTGTGGACCGCAGGTACGACACCGGCGAGGCTGCCAAAAATCTGCTGGAAAAGTTACGGACAAAAACTCCAGCCAAACCTCGCCCTGATGCGGCCAACGCTGCGTCGGCAGTGACAAACAATAATGAAAATGAAGTTAAACCGGAAAGTAAAAATGTAAGTGGCGGAGGCGAGAAAAGGAAGGATGAAGCCAAGGGCTCCGTCGGCGCGAGTGAGGACGAGGCGCCCGTCGCGGGGCGGTCCCGCCGGCGGTCGCTGCCCGGCTCGACGGAGGAGACCCCGCGCCCGCACCCGCACCCTTCGACCAGGTTCTCGCTGCCCAGGAAGTTCTCCATGCAGGCGTCGCGGCGGAGCTCTGCCATCCGGCGGAGGGTGAGCAAGGCCGGCGCTGACGTCATGCGGCCGAGCGCCGACGCCGCCAGGGACAAGGAAAGCGGGCCGCCGCACGCCGCGCAGAGGGCTGACGTCATCAGCACGTCGGACGAGGACGACGAGACGCGCGCCCGGGGCCAGATCAGGAGGAAGCCCACCAAGACGCGCAGCGACTACTCGCTCCACCTGGACGACTCGGCGCTGGGCAGCAGCTCCACCGACACGCCCGAGATCCTGAGCGACCCCCCGCGCGGCTGCCGGGACGTGGCGCCCGGCATCCTTACCTTCAGCACGGGTCAGCTCAGCGCGATGACCTCCAGTGTCCGAGACGCCGTGACCTCCATGGCGCGCGAGGCCGTGACCTCCGGCGCGCGCGACAGGGTCAACAACATCGCGGCGCCGAGCTACCTCCACGAAGCCGTCCTGAGCCTCGGCGACGGGCGGTTCTCGCCGTCGACCCCGGGCAAGAGGGACGTGGTGCTCCCCCTGCTCCACGGCGACCCCCGCCCGCCCACGACGCCCACCGCCGCGCCCTTGGCCGCCGTCACTCCCACCTCCAGCCTCAGGTCCAACCTCAAGCACAAAGGGCAGCTCAGGAGGAAGAGGTCGGACTCAGGCCACTCGGTCACATTCGACCTGCCGGAGGACTGCGACAACCTGGGCGGGGCGAAGGCGCGCTTCCGGGACGACGCGGAGCCGCTCTCCAAGTGCATGAAGGAGCAGTGTAACAGGTCGAAGCAGAGCAGCGTGAAGAAGGAGGCCACGGACAGCGACCGCACGCCCGACGCGGAGGAGCTCCCGGCGCTCCTGGCGAGGGCGGAGGCGGCGGAGGCGGCGGCCAGAGCGTGCCCTCGGAGCGGCGAGGGCGACGCGCCCGCGGACGGTGACTTGGCGGCCGGGGAGCGCACGCCCGACAGCATCTTGGACTCTGACCTGAGCACCACGCACATCCTGAGCCCGGAGGACGTGCTGTCGTGGCCGCGGGACGACAGCCAGATCTTCACGTGGCACCAGCCGCTGCAGCAGGTGGACCCGGTGGTCACGCCCCCCCGGGTCCCCAACGGCGTGCCCCAGCCCGCCGCCGCCAGCCAGCGCCTCCACCTCAGCCTCGGCGGGAGTGACAACAGCCTGGACCAGAACATTACTTCGCTCAGCGACGACGGCCAGACGTTCTGCCTGAACTTGCCCCCGCTCCCTCCCCCGCGCTGCTCCCCCCTCTCCCCCCAGTTCCTCCCCTCGCTCACGTGGTCGTCGGGCGAGAGCGGCTGCAGTGGCGGGTCGTCCGCCCGCGGCCCCGACTCGGGCTACTGGGGCACGGGCGAGGGCGCCGTCGGGACGGGGCGCCGCGGCGTCAAGGTGGTCACGCAGGGCAGGGAGCTCTACCTGCCCTACGCCTTCCTCCACCACGGCAGACTCCGACTCCGCATCGTCAGAGGTAAGTGCGCTGGCACTCTTGCAAGGTTGGCAGATTTCGAGATATTGTTAACAAGGCATCTACTGGCTCCTGGTTTGATGCCTCGGTATGCGCGGCCCAGATGAAACAAAAGAACAGGGGAGTAAGACACTTTCATTAGAAAATGTAAATCCTGTTTGGTCTTAT